CAATCGTATATTTATAAACCGATTTTTTTAAAATTGGTACCAAAATGTTGCAAATTTTTTGAAGATGGCGACGATGTGGTTTTTTCAATTGTTACACCTCCACCCACGCATTCATCCACGCGCGTGCGCATTTATGGACCAATATTTTTACGAAATTGGTACAAAAATGTTGCAAATTTTTTTGAGAAAGCTGCTGTGTGGTTTTTTAAAGTTTTATCCCACCCACGCATTCACCCACGCATTCACACATTTATTCACAGACTTTTTCGAAATTTGTACTCAAATTTTGTTGGGATGGCTACTATGATTTTAACAAATTTTTATCATCCTATTCATCCACCCACGCACCCATGCACCCATGTGCATACGCATTTATTGACTTGGTCACACCAATAAGTAATTTTAAATAAATTTGTGTACATGTTTGTGATTGCAAAAATTTGCAACATTTTGGTACTAATTTCGTGAAAATTGCATACAAATTAAAGGTTTATTTACACGAATTGCACACATAATCACAAATACGTACACAAATTTTTTAAAAATTACTTCTTGGTGTGACCAAGTCAATAAATGCGTATGCAAATGGGTGCATGGGTGCGTGGGTGGATGAATAGGATGATAAAAATTTGTTAAAATCATAGTAGCCATCTCCAACAAAATTTAACTACAAATTTCAAAAAAGTATGTGAATAAATGTGTGAATGCGTGGATGCATGCGTGGGTGGGATAAAACTTAAAAAAACCACACAGCAGCTTTCTCAGAAAAATTTGCAACATTTTGGTACTAATTTCGTGAAAATTGGTCCATAAATGCGCATGCGTGTGGGTGGAGGTGTAACACTTGAAAAAACCACATCGTCGCCAAAAATTTGCAACATTTTGGTACCAATTTTTTAAAAAATCCGTTCATAAATATGCGATTGTGTGGGTGGATGCGTAGGTGAAAGCGTAAACTTAAAAAACCCCACACACATACACACAGAGAGAGAGAGAGAGAGAGAGAGAGAGAGAGAGAGAGAGAGAGAGAGAGAGAGAGAGAGAGAGAGAGAGAGAGAGAGAGAGAGAGAGAGAGAGAGAGATAGAGAGAGAGAAGAGAGAGAGAGAGAGAGAGAGAGAGATAGAGAGAAGAGAGAGAGAGGAGAGAGAGAGAGAGAGAAGGAGAGAGAGCGTGTGTCTTAAAGAAAGAGTGATTGGAGAGATAAGGAAGAGAGAGCATGTGTCTTAAAGAGAGAGAGAGGGAGCGCGTGTGTTTTAGAGTGAGAGAGAGAGAAAGCGTGTCTTAAAAAAAGAAAATAAAATATCTGGGAGAAAGAAATAGATAACATAGTAGTCATCCACAAAAAAATTTAAACATTTATTTTGGTATAAATTTCGTGAAAGTCGAACAACAAATGTGGAAGTAGTTCGCGGTAATACAAAAAAAGAATTAATTTTTTGTGTTAAAACGGATTTAATATAGACTATATGAGGACCGCGCAAAGCGCGGTCCGAATAGAAAGGCTGGCTTTGAGGACCGCGCGAAGCGCGGTCCGAAAAGCTAGTATATATATAAGTTTTATTACAAAAAATGTTCCTACTGTTTATTGCGTCAAGTTCGCACGACGAATTTCGAAAAAATACTAACCATAAATTAGCACCAAAAGATGGTGTTCATTCAGAAGGACAGCTTTTTACACGGATCATCAGACACTTGAAAAGGACCCGTACCTAAGGGTCGAAACGTAGTGTTTTAAATTAAATTATACTGGCCAGTTAGGTCGAAATTTCAATAAATACGTATAAATTAGCATGGTAAAAACTCTCTGAAAAAATGTTTCTATAGAACTATAGAGAACTGCCGTTAAAATTGCGGGAAATCTAATACGCGACATATTTTCATCAAATGTCATGTTGGCCGTAATTGTCAAAAATTATAATTTAATACAAATTACATATTTTTAATAATTTTCAATAAAAATTATATATTTAAATAATAATAAATAGTCAGAACTCTTTGAAAAAATGTTTTTAAGTATAGAATTCTTATAAAATTAGAGAAACACCGTCAAAATTGCAGGAAATTATCAGCACGACACATTTTCATCAAATATCGTGCTGAACGTGGGTATTAATTATTAAAAATTATTATATTATGAAATATCGATTTGAAATTGTATTAAGAATAACGTAAGAAATAAAGAACATTCTTGCAGCTTCAATCCATATAAAGTAGGTCATATAAAGTAAAAAATTTATGTCGAGTTTTTCTGTTCTTTAGAAAATAACGGTTCTTCCTTTAAAACAGATATAGCAGTTAAAATTTTTTTTTTAAATACATGAATTTTCCTACCATCTATTGTGTTTTTCAATTTTTATATGTGCTTTAAAACCATTTGTCAAAAATTATAATATTGAACGCATTTTAGAGTGTCGTGCTAAAATTCGCAAAAATAGCTCATTCTTTCAATTTCGATTTTTCAATACAAAGAATGCGGAATTCTTTTTAATTTTTATCAGAAACTGTATTGTTTTAAAATTCGTAGGACGTCGTGACAACTTTATACAGACACCCATCTACTGCATGTGGTTTTCAATTTTTAAAACGTATGAAATGTCAAACAGCATGAAGCAGAGTGTCTAGTAAAATTTGAAAATAAAATTTAACAACATTTCAAGGAAATTTGCACGATTTTCCAATAGTATGATAAATATGTACAAGGAACCGACAATTTTATTTTTTTTATCAAATCGATATAAATTAAACGTTAATGAAAATTAATAAATACATTATAAATATTCGATATAATATCTTTTTATAAGTATTATATTATATTTGAACTTTGAAAGTCTACACAGAGAAAATTTTTTCTTAGAATTTACCTTAAAAATCATGATAATCGTGGAATAATATATTTGGAGCATTTTATAAGAGTTTCTCTGATTAATATCTACCGTAATAATATATTAAAATTTTTTTATTGTGATAAATATTTAATCAGAGAAACTCTTATAAAATTTTATCTCACAATTTCCATGATTTTCAGGGTAAATTCTAAGAAAAAATTCTCTTCGTGTATAAACAACTTATGCGCAACACATTTTGGATTCCGTAAATACAAAATATATTGTATTATTTATGAAGTAAGATTAAATATTTTTTACTCGAATAGTCTCTGCTGACTCTTTTAGCTGAATATTTAGAAGCAACGAAAAAAATTAGATCTAAAAATTAAAATGCATTTCCAGGTTCTCTCCTCTCTATTATAGTGCTCTATTATAGTCCACCCTATATATAGCGTTATTCTTTAGAAAGTAAGTCTTCTTCGAAACAAAAATAAAATTCTTTAGAGAATATTCTCTTGAGATATATTAGAATAATTGTTCGACTAATAAGAATTATTCTTTCTTAACAAAATTAATAATTATCTTATTGCTTAATTAATTATCTGCACTCATAAAAAATTATTAAATTAATAAATATTTGTTTCAATGCCGTAAAATAAATCATTTATTTGAGACAAATATTTATTTGTTTTGAGGAAAGAATTTTGTTATATAAAATAAATATTTTTGAATTCAAATCAATATTATTAGTTTCAAATAAATGATTTATTTGGCAATATCGAAATAAATACTTATTCAAACTCAATAACTTATTTTTTCGGTGCAGCTTTTCGAAAGCCAGAATCTTCATAAAATATTGATAATTCAAAAAAATATAAAATTTTTAAATTTAAAACAAAAAAACAACCTTTTTAGCTTTCCATTTGCAAAATTTCGATGAAATAAATTCTGTCTTCTTCCAAGATTCCTAAATTTTTCAATACATTAAATAATGCAGTTAATTAAATAACTAAATAGAATTGAAATAAATTTTACAATCTAAAATAAACGCTAGTTTTACGTGTTAGCTATACAAGAAATTTCATTTGCAATCCTTTTATTGTAATCAGCATTGATGAGTTCTAATTCTTGTCGAGGGAATTCTTGAAAGACAGCTTTCGAAGAAAAATCTAGAGCATTTGAGAAGGAGAATCAGGACTCTATAATTAATATTTATTGAAATTCTGAGAATAGTGAGAGGGTCTCAATTTCGCAGAAATAGCTGTGCTTTATCAAAAAATCGTATCGGAAAAAAAAAAAAAAAAAAAAAAAACATTTTTCAACATCCGGCATTGGTAAATAAATATGACAAACGCATATGTTTGTGCGTCTCGTGGTTTCTCTTCAATAAGAATCTCTTATTTAAAAACATGCGTGTTTACATGCATGTCTCTCACGTTATATCTTTGTAAGAAACGTAAGAAAAAGAGCGGTCTAATAAAGTCACAGTGGGCAAAACATGAGATTAGAATACGGCTAATAGATTCAAGGAATCTTCGATTTTTCCACGTGTTTCTTTCAAATACGACAAAGAAAAAAAATCTCACGACGATGTCGTGTTTACGACGAATCACCTCCCAGGATTAAAATGACTGTAGAATTTTATGCTTAGATGTATTGGTTACTAAATATGAAGAGAGAGAGGACTCGATTTACGCAGCAGTCGATATTAAAAATGAGCAATTTCACGAAAATATATCTAAATGATTTTCTCAAGTAACCTCGCCGCGGAATTAAATCGACGCGGAATTTTCTCTCTCGTGCCAAATTCCGTAGGATAATTAAAATCTCTCTAGAACAACTTCAGTCTCCTTCTCTCTCTCCTTCTCGCGAAAAGTATAAAAATACGATTGTTGGCGCGTGTCAACAGATAAAGTTGCGTAACACATTTTCGGAAATGCTTTACATATATCGTACAGGTATCGCGTCACAGCCAAGTGATGTCTGGAAAACATGAATATGAGGGAAAAATCCGACGATAATTTCGCCGAGAGCAAGCGAGAGTTCAATTCCCTCGAGAATTATTTGTACCTGTCAAGGACGAAAAATTGGTCGCTTAGATCGATAAACGTCAGATCGCGTCTATCTAAGACCTTTCGAGCGATATCGCGAAACATGACAGATTAGCGACTTACCGAATGTCAACTCGTGGGTGACCGTCTGCTCGGTGTTGCTGCTCTGTGGCATGTCGAAGGCTGGTGGAGGGGGTGGCGGCTGCATGGCGTTCTCCATTCCCTCACTGCGTCCTCTTCTACCTCAATTTCTCTCTCTCGCACTCCCACACACACATACACACTGTCCCTCGCTCGCTCTATCTCCGTCCCTGTCCCTTTCGCGGCGCACTTGTCACCGTTATCGCCGTTCCCGCTGGACGTCCGTCTCTCGCGCGCACTATTATCGTATCGACGAGCGATTCGGTACCCTCGATCCAGAATAATACGCCCATTCGCGCATAATACTTGAGAAACGTCCGTCTTCTCGCGCACACGTGTGTCCGTTCCGTGTACGTACGCGAGAAATATATATATGTACACGTTAATAACGACGGCGCAGCACGAACGGGCCGACTCGCGCGTGCAGAAGGTGCAGCTGAGTTCCGCGACGGAGTTCCTCCTCGAAAAATTGTACGTCGCGCGCGATACCACGACACCGCGTATGTTGTGACGTCGTCGAAGGTGCGTGCCGCCGGGCCGCGGATCTTATTCACATGATCTCGTCTCGCATACACGCCCGCACATATCGCCGCGCCTGGACGGACGCGCGGACACGTCTTGCTCGATCCGCGCACCTCTCGCTACTGCGCGCCCACCCGCTGTGCGCGCGAAGCGCGAGTGCGCCTCCCACCGTCTCCTCACCCCCTCGCTGAGCGCGCAGTGCTCCGATTATTCGCGCTGACAGCTGTCAGGCCCGTATCGCGGACGCGCGGGAACGATGAATTATTAGATTCGCTGCGACAGAAATTACGTCCTCTTTTTGTATTATCTATATTATATGTTATATTATATATTATTTATATATTGTACATTACATTATATATTTTATATAAATATATATTATATTCTTTTATATATTTCTTTTTATATATTTAGATATGTATATTTTATGTATTTATATATTCTTTTATATATTCCTTTTTATATATTTAGATATGTATATTTTATGTATTTATATATTCTGTTATAATATATAATAAAACATAAATATATATTATATTCTTTTATATATTAATATATATATATATATTTAATATATATAATTCACTGCTTAATATAAAATTGCTATTGTTCGATGCGAAACTTCAAACTTGCGCGTCTATATGCGTTCATATAATTTTCTTGATAAATACATCATACTCGAAATTTGTCTCTTTTTTGGTAAAAATTTAAATTGAGAAAAATATTGTACTGTAATTAAATGCGAAATTGATTCTAATTAAGGTTGCTTTGAATATTGGATGCGAAATTTTCTCGTGCTTCGCAGCTTCGTATTTCGAGCTAAATACAGCGCTCTGTACTGAATATTTAATCGATGCTGGAATGATTCGCTGGTAACTGGACGTATAATTGAAATATAAGTTAGAGTAATTGAATTATATAAAAATTCAAGGAAATTTGATTGTGTGCATCTAACGCCTGTGTCGGGTGCGCGATATCACAGTCCTGTTCCGGAGAATCTTGTACAATTTCTTATCATCGTTTTTTTTTTTTATGTCTCGTACGAACTAATCTCGAAGGCAGCTTTTAGTATTGCATTATTCCTTTCGATCGAGAAGACGACACACGCGACGAAGAGGGTACAGCCGGAATATCTTCTATAATTTTATATTGAGAGAGAGAAGGGGAATTGTGTATATTACGTTCTCCTTAATTCTGCGTATCGATTTTTCCTTATTGATAATCAAGGTCGACACGACGAGCGTTGCATTATATTCCAACCGTGAAATGAGAGTGAAAATTTCACGTTATCAATTCGACGTGAATTGATAAATTGATTCGGTAATTTTTTTCGAACAGATTATACGAAAAACTGTATACAAGGGGAAAAAAATAGTTACATAAGTTTAGGATCAAATTTTCTCCTGCGAAAATTTCATGTTCATATATAAAAAAAATGTGCTACATATCTCGTAACAATTTACGTAAGAAAATTTCATTTAGATTCTTTCCATTTTTTCTGGATTCTATTGAACCAAGTTGCGTAACTTGCAAATGTATACAGCAAAGATGTAAAGTTGTTTGAAATTTTCAAAAAGAGAATCGAGGAAAGTTCCCACTCACTCTTGGTCATCATGTTTAGTGGCATAACGAAGACAACGTATTTAAAATGCAAATGAAAAATGCTCTTGGCTAATTTTAAAATCTTAACGAAGCGAATTAATTGTCATCGGGCTAACATAAACTGGCATAATTAAGAAGATTACAAGGATCGTTTTCAATCGTGCCTTTGAAACTGGGAGTTTTTGCAGATTTTTTCTGTCATTCGCGAGAATAAAACGCGCGCAATTATTATTATTATTATTATTCCTATATATCGATCGGTCATTTCATGTGTAACAAATCTACGATAACAATTTCTTAACAATGTTGGATGTAAGCAAACGTTGAATAACAACACGCGACGATATCGAGTTAATTATTACTGAAAAATACGAGAAAAAGAGGAAAACGAGCTGGTAGATATGTTTGCAAAATTTTAAATTTTACATACAAATGCATATAGCGTATGTCAGACTGGTTTGTAATTTCCACGAAACGACTGACACATCAATTTTACGCGCTTCTTCGACGAGTTGTGTGCATCAACGAGAAATGTCAAAAAGAGAGACACTCGGTTTCGACATTATAATAGCGCGGGCGAATTTAATACACGCTCGAATAATGATTTTTCTATCCCCCGACGCTATCGGAATGCGTTCCCGATATCACTCTCAGATATCTTATATCTGCGACCTTGATGACTCGAGAGTCGAGTGTGAAAATCATTCCGATCCAGATCAGTAGCGAGTAAAAAGTCGCGCGCGAGAGAGACTCCCTCCTTGTTGTACGACAAAAAGAAGAGACCGGAAAAATGTTCTCCGAATACGCGCCTTTCGTGACGAAATATTTTTATCACCTGTTAGTCGGCGTCATTTCTCTCATTCTGTTTAGCAAAATTTTCGGGAGACCACAGAAGAGGCCCCTCGCTCCAGCATCCGACGAATCTACGGATCCGAGTGAAAGTAATCTGTCACTGTGTATATATAACTGTTGTCGAGCGGAACAGAGTCGTATTTGTCTCATTTTAGAAAATGAAAGTGGAAGATAAAAGTGCTTCGCTCGATGCCTCGTGCTTAAAATTCTAAAAACAATTTTTTACTATACTAAGCAATCAAGAAAATAATAGAAAGTAAGGATAATGAAATTAATAATAAAAAAATTGATGAGTGTCCTTACTTAATACAAGCGTGAATGCCATGGAATTCCAGCGAGTTAGTCAACAGATAAGATTGTTCATTTTACGATTAAAATCTCTCAATTTCGTCGGTCGTGGTTAAATAATTCTTATTTCTTTTTCACGATTTTCTAAATGAAAAAATCTAGAATATTTTATATACCCTAAAAAATAAAAACAGTATTAAAAATATAATAAAACAGTATACAATACTTTTTTTTACTAACTTATATATCGCGAATATTATATTATTGATATTAATTATAACTTATAATATTAATTATAAATATTACTAATTATAATTAATATTAATAATATTATATAAAATACAAATTATATTATAATGCAAATTATATCGAATAACACAATCGCGTAAAATATTCCGAATTATCTTGCAGAGGTAGATGAAGACTTGATTGAAGAAGAAGAACCCGCCTTGCCAAAGGATCTCAAGCACATACCATATCGGTATGTCCGGTTACCCAAAAAGGAATCGCTGTCTCGGGCGTCAGAATTTTATCAAATGGCAGCCGCCAGACGTACCTTAAGATACTTTAGCGCGGATCCCGTTCCGAAGGAAATTATCCACGAAATTATAAGGGCCGCAGGTATATCTAAATATTTAAATATCTAAATATTTACATATAAAATTAAATACACTTCTACATAATAAAATTTATGTGTGTCAATTGATTTCTTAGCAGACATGATAAGGGCCTGAACTAAGGTCGAAACGTTGTCTGAATTTTGAATAAATAACTAAAGAATAACATTGCCAGTTGTGGTCGGTTTATTAACACATTTTATATTTTTATTTATATAATTATATATAAAAAGCCCTTTTATCTCATTATATATGGACACATTTCATATATAATTTTGCGATTATACATATAATTTAATATATTTCTATATAATTTCAAATTGTCATGTATAAAAAATTTTGTTCACGAATAAGATAAAAAAGAAATAAAATTGACAAATTCCACCTGTTTTCAAGTTACACATCCGTGCTTTTTAAAACCTATTATAGGTACTGCTCCCAGCGGGGCGCACACAGAACCGTGGAGTTTCGTCGTGATATCCAATCGGACCGTGAAATCCAAAATCAGAAGTATCGTGGAGCAGGAGGAGGAGATCAATTATAAGAAGAGGATGGGCGTGAAATGGACCACCGACTTGTCTCCGTTGAGGACCAACTGGATAAAGGAGTATCTCACCGTTGCCCCGTATCTGATACTCGTGTTCAAGCAAACCTACGGTATTCTGCCGAATGGAAAGAGGAAGGTCCATTATTATCACGAGATGAGCGTTTCTATCGCGTGCGGGATCCTCATTACTGCCATACAGGTATAATTTTCCTTTGTGAGAAATCGGGGTGAAATTTCTTTTGTCCGAAGGAAAGGAGCCTTCTTTTTTTTTACAAGAATTTTTCGAAAAATTATGTTTTTAATCTGTAACAATTACGAAAAATATATATTAACATAAAATATCAAAAAACATTCAAACACATCAATTCATCAAGAAATTTAATTAAAAGTTAAGTTTGAGATAGAAATTATCTCGAGAAAAAAATTATCACAAACTTGACGATTTCTTGTAAATACTTCATTGAATTGAATTATATAATTGAATATAAATTTACTTAAATTTAATTATATTTATATTTTCAATTATATAATTTCATAAAATAATTTTTACTTTACAAAATAATCGAATCAAGTGTATATAAATAAAATATAAATATAATTGAATTAATTGAACATTTTTTTCTAAATGTAGTACGCCGGTTTGGTGACCCTTACGTCGACCCCGTTGAACTGTGGACCGGCTATACGCAGTTTTCTTCAACGTCCACCGAACGAAAAGCTCGTATTACTTCTGCCAGTCGGTTATCCAGCTAAAGATGCCACCGTACCTGATTTGCAACGAAAACCTCTATCCGAAATTTTAATCGAGATCGATTAAACGGAGACAGATTCGTGAGACGCTGCTTTAATATTTCATACTGGATATAATCGGAGATAATATATATTTCATCTCCATATATATACATATATATGTATACTTCGTTTACATGGATCGAAAGGAATATTTGAAATAAGTCAAACATCCATTTATGTTAGCACTATTTTTATGAAAAAATGTTATATTTTTCGGATTACTAACTTTTGTTTTATATCTTACATAGCAATTATTTACTACACTAGTAAAATGTAGTATGTATATTCCTTATAAAACATCATTGCCAATATTACAAAGTAATCGTAACGTCCAAACAAAGAGCTAATCCCTGAAATGTAGCACCTGTTCGAGTCATGTCGTTTGTGTTAATCTCTCCCTCTCTTGTAATTGAAAATGTGTACAATGGCACGTATAATAAGACTGCTCTAAACTTAATAATCCAGTTTGTATAAACTAACGTTTTTATTCCAATTTGTATACATAATATTAAAAATAAGCGATACCAATATATAAATTTGATCGAGTTTAATCGAGGAGAGAAAAACTCATGTAATAATGAGAATTGGCAAAAAAATTGGTTTAAGAATGAGATTATATATATATATATATATATATGTATATGACATTAGTTGTACAATTAGGCGGTCGTAAAAATTGTCAAATTACGAAACGAAGTTTGATATCAACGAATACCAAATATCACCACAGTTTCTTAAAATTAAGTACATTTAATATATAAAATATAAAAATACTGGGCTAAATGTGACGAAGAACATGTAGAATTATAATCTTTCTGCGAGTGTGCTGCAAAGTCTGCGTATGACAGCTATGTCGCTATTATTAATATAGTTATCTCGTTAAGTGTAAAAGCTTTAGAGTATCATGATACATACAGAGAAACAGAGATAATATTCTATTTTCGTTTATCACTATTCATGGAACAAATACTATTAATATCATGATTTCCTAGAATAAATTTTTTCATTTACCTTTATCATTTCCTTCTCTCTTTCTTTTTCCTTTCCTATGAAAGTTGATTCGTTAGTCAAGTCGATAGCGCGAGGAGCTAAGAGTTAGTGTGAAGACTCGAGATCGCCAAATTTATCGTTAAATTTAAGCAATTGTAAAAGTTCTGAATGCAAAATCAAATACTTTTCAATATATATCATTGACTAAGAGTAGAATAGTCTATACAGAACTAGGAGAGTATTGTCCTATTTAACAATCTTCGACTAAACCTCTTATAGTTTGTTTATTAGTAATATATATAAATCTCCATATACACATATACATACATATATACACATATACATACATATATGTACATATATATATATATATATATGTGTGTGTGTGTACGTATGTGTCAGTTCATAAAATGAGCAAAAAATACACTTTGTTCGGTACACGAATGTAAAATCTAAGATCATCAGTAAATCGAACTCCGTCTTCGCCTTTAAAATTAATAATCTCTCTGTTCGTTCTCCTTACAGGACTCTGTTGACAGTCGATCAAATTATATATGAGTTGTATCTTTATACACTTATATATATATTCTAAAAACTATCTCGATTAAATTATATATAAATATGTGTCTCCTTACATCTTTATCTCGTCGAGATCACCAAGTGCCTGAGATAATGACAGATTACGCTAAATGTATTCTTCTCTAATTATTATCGTCATTATATTATTATTATCATCAACATAATGTAACAAGAAGCTGATAATAATATGTCAATATAAATTTTGTAATAAATAATGATCAATGAACTTTCCTTTTTTTTTCTTCTTTCCCCTCCAAAAGTTTGGGGTGTCTGTATTATATAATACTATCTGTTCTTTTTCACTGAACTGGCTGCACTAGTTCAGAGTTTATCTCTTTCCCTCCAATGTGGAGTAAAAAAGATAAACTCTGAACTAGTGCTGCCAGTTCAGTCGAAAAGAAGAGATCTTAGGTGTACGAGTGAGCTCTCGCGAATACTCTCCTAATTCTCCTAATAAGACGACCAAGACGTTGTATGCCACAGCGATAGCAAGGATAGCTCCGTGACTTATATATATATATGTATATATCTATATACTATCCCAGAGAGTGAACTTAATCACGGCGATAAAATTCGGCTAAGCACAAGCGGCACGACCAGGAGCCCTCCGGAGGTGACGCAAGAGGAGGAGCCAGACAATACATGTGGTATCCACGATCACAGTCGTCACAGAACAGCAACTGATCCTATTTCAGTCCGCCAAACCGTTAATTATGACAAGTAATCCATATAAAACTCGCGGAACAAAAAACCGCGCGCAAGACCAATATTTTACATTCATTTTGACATCAAATCAAGACTCCTGGCTATGTCAGATTGTGACGTCAGAGGCGTGAAAGCGTACGCTGGAAATTCTTAGATGCCGTTTTTAAATGAAGAGATATTTCGATGGAACATATTACGTTTACATCACTTTTAAAATACCTCGAAAACTATTCTTAATCATTTTACAGCTGTTGATTGATTATATATAGGAAAAAAGATCGTTTTGGCAGTAGTTTAAGAGTTTAAAGCTATCTGAAGTGCTGTCTCATCGAAATATCTTTTTATTTCAAAAATGCAATTTTTAGCATATATTTTCTCGCCTCTGACATTACAATTCCAACATTATCGGTCAGGAGCCAGAAGCCCTAAATTTCATTATTTTTCTTACAAGTAAAATTTGACGACCCTGTAATTCTTTTTTCCTTCTTTTCATTAATATCGCAATTTTTCTATTCGTACGCGACAAAATCGACCTTCGAAAAGCTTCGAAAATTTTATATTTGTTTATTTCCTTTGTCTCTTAAGTCTTGATACTTGTCTCTGTGCTTCTCGTCTTTCGTCTCTCTCTGTCTCGTCTGTTATGTTTTTATTTATATTTATTTTTGTCTCGGTACTTTTCGCATGTATGTGGCCGTATTCGTGTAAGTATTTTCAAAAGAAATAAACAGATATAAAATTCTCGAAGTTTCTCGAAGCCTTTCGAAGGTCGAATTTTGATGCAAAAGATATGAAGAGCGATATATATATATATATATATATATAATATATATATAAAATATAAATAATATATACATAATATAAATAAAATTAAATAAAATTTGTATCTTTTCTTGTTAAATAAAATAAAATAAATAATTAAATAAAATATTTATCCTTTCTTGTTTACCTTTAAGTACTACTGAATCTTTGCTATCGTCATTTATGTGCGTAACAGCTTCGATGCCTTCTGTTCCATCCTCTGTATCACCTCTTAATCCTCGTTTTGGATGTAGATAGTGCATCAAGTATTGCCGTCGTTTCTTTCGCCATCTTTTGCTTGGAGAAGTGTAAATTTGACCATTTAACAATCCTGGTAATCTTTCTCTCGAAGACAAAAAGTGTAGAATGATTCTGTGCCACACCTGCAGTTTTACATAATCCTAAATATTATCATGTAAAAACAAAGATATGTATATATATAATTTTTTTATAATTGTAATTGATGTTACAACTACATTAATTTCAATAATAAATCATAGAAAGTTGCGCAACACAATTAGCGTATCATTTACATATATTTAATTATATATTATCTATATATTAATATATATTTAATGAAATTATTATTTATATATTATTATATATTATATCATTTATAATTTATATATATTTAATTAATTATGTTATCAATTACAAAAAGTCAAAAATTTCATTGACCTCAAAATATTTAATTACAGACTCGAACTATCGTTACAGTCTAATCACTTTGATATATGATTTTGCAGATAGCTATTCACAAATATAAATTACAAAGATAAATAGATAAATAATTGAAATCACTTTAATTGTAACTGATGTTACAATTGCATTAATATAAATAATGCTCCAAATTAAGAACAGAATTTTCATTACTAATTTCAGATTAAATCATAGAAAGTTTGCGCAACACACTTAGTGTATTTTCTACATATATTCAATTAAATTATTGTTTATATATTATTTATAATTTATATATATGCTATCGATACAAAAGGTCAAGTTTCATTGACCTCAAAATAAGTAGTTACAGACTCGAAGCATTGTTATAGTCTAATAACTTTGAACATATGATTTTGCAGACAGGTGTTTATAGAAATACAACAAATCCAGTCGATAAATCAGTAAATCACGCCCAAAAGCGCAGACACACCAACTTCTCCAATCATCGTGAAGACGAAAAACGATCACCACCACTGTGCGATTAATCTTACCCGTTTGCGAATCTAGAAAAGGCATGCGAAGACGTCGTTCCCGGCATAATCTGCTATTGTATATGGAGGAATTTTCAATGGCTTCTCTGTCGTTGAGGAAGCTGCGGAGACGGATCAATATGATTAGACGCGACTGCTTCGAGCGAAGAAGAGAAGAAAACGACGGATACGCATCTCTCTATCTTACTTAAATTATTCTCGTTCATCACTTGTATCATTCCACCGCTGTTGTTGTGGGCCATCGCGGGAGGCATCGCCATCACCGTCATCTTCGACGTCACCGGAACGTTGCGCGTTGCTTTGCTCCGCTGCTCGCAGGCCGGCTCCTCTTCTTCCCGGAAGTGACACTGCGCCGATCAAGTGTCAAATGGCATCTTCTAGTGTCAACAGAACAGAAAACTCAATGAATTATATAAACGAATACCGGTGAAAAGTATTACTGACAGCACTGCAATTATTGTTATACGACGAGTAGGAAAAGAAGCTTTTTTTATATTTAATTATTGTGTCACCGTACAGTCACCGTACTTCACAGCGTACTCCTGCCGGGTGTCGCGGTGCCGGCATCGCAGGCAGATCGAGAAGCTGCCGTGACCCAGGCTCGACCCGGTTCGGTCCAGCTCGTAAGTCTGGAAGAAGGTGGACTCGTCGAAGCGGATCTCGTGCAAGGAGAAGAAGGAAGGCCGCGGCTGGTGCCTGTGAAGCAAGCACAACCCGAGGAACGGCTTGTTGCCGAAGATGTCTCTGCTCACCACGTTGTCGTTGAATAGTATCGAAGGCGCGACGTACGAATAACCCTGGATAATTATTACACTTGTAACAAATGTTTGAAGAATTTCTAAAGAATATTAATTTAAATAAGAAGTATATTAAGTAAATAATAGTATATTGTGTATCAAGTGTGGAAAGTTGACAATTGTTCACTCGTGTGGGGTGGTCGCCTTCGGCTCGTGCGACCACCCCACACGAGTGAACAACTGTCAACTTTCCGCACTTGATACACACGATATTTTATATTACAAGTGCAGGCAAAGTGGCTTTGTGCGCGTTTTCTGTGCGCGAGGTGGCCGACGCACGCCGTCATCTTGCGACGGCACGGTGCGGGAATAGCCGTGGACAATGACTTTAAACGCGGCTCAGCCGTAGGCAATGGCTTTGAATGCGGCTTATTCACTCACCGCGTCGCCGCTAGAATAGAGGTGGGAAATCGGCCGTTTTCCGCACAGAAAACACGCACACAAAGTGCCACTTTGGATGCACGTGTAATACAAAATATATTATTAAATAATATATACATAAAATACATTAAATGTATTTTGTTTTGGCCGATCGCACATGAAAAAAATATTAGCTAGCCTTTTATGGCTTGTATTAGCTACCCTAAAATGTTTTAAGAATTTCTTAAAAATAATATTTATTAAAATATTTAAATATATTATTAAATAATATATTTCATTATATTTTAATATATATATATATATATATGTGTGTATAATATATTATTAAATATATAAAAGATATTATATCATATCTAAATCTTACAATTAGCTCTCTATAATAACTAGCAATTGTCAAATTTTCATCTTCGATAGAACGGAAGCAGAACGTACGAGAATTTACCCTAAAATCCTTCTCGATAATGTTGTTGGCGTTGATGAGTCGCGCAAGGCTCTCGGCGACGTTCATGTTCGTGAATTCGTCGGAGAAGTTGCTAATGTCCAATTCGTGCTTGATCA